GCGAACTTTGAATGAAATGAAAATGAATTTTTTGATGATTTACAGTCGAAGAACCACCCCCGTACAAAAAAAGAGACATTAAGAGTAGAAATCGGCCAACAACAAAAACGATACCGTCATCAAGACAATTAATTGAAATCGGAACACCTCGACACGGAGCATTCGATAAACCGATTCTGAGGCCACGAAATGTGGAGTGGAAGCTTTTTAATATTCAAAACGAAAATGATTACGAAACTCCTAAAAAGGATATGCGACCTCAAAAAGTTATCCTACTGGGTTCGAATTGGGATTTGTTTACGGGTAATAAGTCAAACGCATTCTTTAAATCCAAATTCAAAGATATTAACTTTGGTACAGTACACCTGGACAAAAACCAGGTAGTCCAGGGAATTATCTTACCTATTTCTGCCGTCAAGTAATAAAGTGAGCATTACAGCGTTTTGGTTTTGAAAGGTAAAAGTGCTGGTGAAATTACTGCCGCCAGTAGTTGAAAGGGCGCTCGTGACAAAAACCCAGAATTGAGAAAATAATGTTTAAAGTAGGTAATGAAATTAAAAAATATCTACTTTTCCCTTGCACTAATTTCATACCTTATCCACCTATAATGAATCTACCTGATAATATTGAGAGGTCGGCATTTTTTATAGTGATCACGGCAGTATAAGTAACAAATTTAAAAAGTCACATGCGCCCTTTCTACTAACGGCGGCAGATTATATGTCTCTGAGTGGCGGACGCACTCGCAGTACCCACAGATCTCTGCGATTCAAAGTTCTGAGTGACACTTGCAAGCGTGTCGTTCTCATGTCGTAGTCAGCATCGGAGTGGTGAAATACCGCCTAAAACCTAAAACCCTTAGTGGAAATTTGTTCTGAGTATTCCAGAACGATGACGTGTATTGATTGACGTTGATAATGAATGTATTGATTTATAATTATTTATTTCCACAGTTCCAGTAAAAAACATTCGAAAAAGTCCAACGCTATCCGAAAAGTTGGACGTTTTGTTAGATCCAAAGAGTAATGAAGGTGATAGTAATGCATTTATAAGTCTGTTACATACAATTGTAAATTTCAATGTATCCATGTCAAAACCTCAAGCACCAGATAACAAGTCCGTGAAAAATGCAGCACTTGATGATAATGAGGACACTCTAGAGCCAGATATTGAAGAAAGACACGTGAAGATGGATAGCCATTACGAACTGGAAGGTAATAATGAATACAATTAATTTTACTTTGCAAATCAATACAAGAACATAATAAGGAACTTTTCATTTTATGAAACTGACAAAGAGGTATGTGAAGTGAGGGCGGGTGAAGAAAGACGCCCGAATCTTCAAATGAACAACGGCGTTTATTTACGTAGTTGTGCCGTCCCACCAGGTGGAAGCGGCAGCCGGCGATATGGCGAGATCTGGTGGGACGGAACGAGGACTCCTTGAGCTTTCATCCAAGTATCCCAGCAGGCGGAAGTACTGGAGTGCCACTCATAGTCCCTATGATTTGATACAATGCAATTTCTTTTTAGAACTTAAATGGTAACTTGGTGACCACTTCGATAGCAAGTACCATGTTGACCGCAACGCCATCTTGCTGCAAGGCGAGGTTACTAATATTTTTAAAAGAGTTTGTCCAGGGATTGTGAGCATTCCAGTTTTGAAGGGTAAGGGTGCCGGTGAAATTACCGGCACATGGGACTTGTCATGTCTCAGGGTGACGAGCGCAGTGTCGTGCCCCACAGACCTTTGTGCAATTTAAAGCACTGCAACTGTTATGGAGAGGCGTGTAGCTTACCATCAGGCGCGTGACTTGTTTGTCCCGTCACTTGATATTTTAAAAAAATTTTTTGTTCGTGGTGTTACAAAACTATTTTTTTTTTCGGATCCAGGTCGCGTATATTATTTGTTTTTTCAAACAAATCAACAGGTCATTATGGTTTACTTGTGCTCATGAGACATGTGTAGATCCCGAAACGTCGATTTGTTTGAATTTGTTCCGAAAAAGTAGTTTTATTTTCGAAATAAATTTGCAAAAGAGCTTAGTTGGGATAATGCTTCCGTTCTATGTAAGAGGGTGCGAAATTGAGCTAGTTACTTCTGTGTTTATAATACACAATACTCTTTTCTAGTATACTTTTGATATTTAATATTTATTATTTCAAGGAGAAGAAACGCTAGAAAAAGACAACAAAAAAATATCACAGACTCCATATAAGAAAGAAGAGATAAAAAAAATACACGTAGAGCCATACAAACAAGCATTAAAACGACCAGAATATGAACACGATGACGATGAACATCATGACGATTATGTAAGAGCAGATAGGGTGCAAAAAGAAAATGAAGCATATACTATGCAAGAGGGAGGTAATTCTCAAGAGGAGTTGAGACCAGAAACTGTAGAAAGCCAACAGGAAGAAGAAGAGAAGCAAGAAATATTAAACCCAAGACCACCAGTGGTTGGAAGGCCAGAAAAGCAGGAAAAATACGTACAACAAACGAGACAAGAAAGACAGGAAGCATCAAAACGACTTGAAAAAGAGCAAAAACCAGGACAACAGGATACATATGAACAAGAAACGCGACCAAATCAATTAAAGTCCCAGGAGAAACCAGAAAGAGCAGAAAACTCAAAACATTTAGAGACACAAGAAACGCGAAAAAGACCTGAAGGACAAGGAAGATCAGAAGAGCAGGGAAGTACAAAAGAACAATGGAAACAAGAAAAACACGAAAAATCACACGGCCAACAAAGACCAGAATGGTCCGAAGCACAGGAAAAACCAGAAAGGTCTGAAGAACAACCACGGCTAGTAAGACCTCAAGTTCAAGAAGTGCCAGAACGACAAGAGGGACCTGAAGGTTATCAGAAACCAGAAAGTCAAGAAAACCTTGAAAGCACATTAAGAGAAGCCTACGCGAGACACGAAGACCACAGCATAAAATACGATAAGTATGGTCATGGGAATCAACAAAAGAAAATGAGTCAAGAAAGGCCATCAAGACTCCAACATCAAGAAAGATTGCAAAAAACAGAAAAAGATAGGGTTATTAAAAACGAAAGGGTACAAGAATACGAACGTAAGCTTATAAAATTTGATGTAGTTTCACACGACAGTGGGACAACGGATCATTTACTCCACTCTATTAAGAAAAACGTTTACAGTGGTGATACTTCATTCAAAAAGGATACTTTGGAAGATTACAAATTAGGCAAGAAATATGAACGTAAAATGAAGAAACCTTTATTAGGCTCTAAAGAGGACAGGAAGTTAGGAAAAGAAGCAAGAGGTTGGGCGAGTGGAGAAAAAAATAAAGGTAGTTGGGAAAAGAATGATAAAAAAAACGACGATTGGATGAAACAAAAAGATGATAATTGGGACAATAAAAAAGACGTTGATTGGGACAATAGAAAAGATGCTAGTTGGAGTAATAAAAAAGTAGATGATTGGGATAAAAAAAAGGGCGACGATTGGGACAAACATAAAAAAGACAATTGGAATAAAAAAAACGACGATGATTGGGATAAAAGAAAGGATGACGACTTAAGTAAAAGGAACGGCGACGATTGGGATAAAAAAAAGACTGAAAGAACCGGAAAAATATCCGAAAACTCAGAAGAAAAAGATTTTGCTGAAAATCATGGTGATTGGGAAAAACCAAGTAACAAAAATAAGGACAGCTGGGATAAGAAGACATCTAAGAATGACAGGGGAGGTTCTACGAAGGGCGATGATGATTGGGGATCGCCTAAAAAATCTGAAGTTAATGATTGGGATAGCCCAAAACAAAGCAATAATGTTGACAGGAATACTCCTAGAAAGGGCTCTGATGAGTGGGGGTCACCTAAAAAATCAAAAATTGGTGACTGGGACAGTCCTAAAAAAAGGAAAAAAGATGATTGGGATGAGCCTATAAAATTAAAAGACGATGAATGGGAGTCCCCTAAAAAATCGAAACACAGTGATTGGGAAAGTCCAAAAAAGTCGAAAACCATCGATTGGGCCACGACCAAAAAGTCTAATGTAGATGATTGGTATACTCCTAAAAAGTCAAATGCCGATGATTGGGATAGTCCAAAAAAATCTAAAAATGATTGGGACAGTCCCAAAACATTAA